AGTTTAACATTTCATCAGAAAGACGGCACCCACTACAGTATAGTGTCCCCGCCACTGTACCGGGGCATTAGGACCTACCCGCAGGGTGGGCACCCCCCGCTGGAAATAATTTATTTGCAAAAAAATTACTTTCCACAAGCAGAGTTATTTTACTGCTTTAAAATACTAAAAAGCTTTACAAAACCCATCTGAAAAGGCGTGGTGTAAGCTCTTCCATAACAAAAAAAGCACTTCAGGAAATTTCCATGGTCCAAAGCAACATCAAGTTTGGCACGCAATTCTGTCTTTTGCTATATTTGGTTTGACTTAAATCAGTTCGGCAAATCAAAAAGTAGTCATCAGTAATCAAACATTTGGGATCAACTGGTCTTAGCTGAAAAACTCTAGTTCCATGACACAAAATACTCGGTCTTGTTTATGTTGTAATATCTTGGATCTAATGAGCCCTTTCCAAACGTTAGCAAGTATAAAGATGGAGGCTTTACACACTGGCTCATTACACTCAAAGATTTACTGTTGTATCAAAACCAGACCAAGCAATCTGACGTAATGCTTTTCAGCGCCATTAGGGTATATGATGTCATTATTTTCTTTATAAAACAGTTATAAGTTTACGACAGCCGAAACTAATTTTGATTGTCAGGGAAACCTAGTACAAAAAAGCAAAATTAGGAACAAAATTTGGCATTGCTATTCTTTCCTTACTTTTAATTTCATTTGTCCAATAAAAAATGATGAGTCCTAACCTCATTCTTTACACTTTCAAAGAACAATATTTTAACATTAAAACAAGATTTTAATTTTTTTATTTATAGGACTGATAGATCATGTGATTAATTTTTTTTTCTACCTGACAAAAAGATCAGATACTTAGATAATCATTTTATTTAGCAATCATACTGTACTTCATGACAATCCATCCCAACCTTGTCAAAGACTAAGGTTCTCAACACCAAAAAGCATGTAATGTTTACAAAGTTAACATGCCTCCAAAATTCTAATTTCTACAGCATTTGTTCATGACTTCATTTTGCACCTTCCTCAACGTCATTGTCTTTTTTCCTTAAACGATAGGAGCGAGTCCATTTTTATTAAAGTTATTTGACAGACATCTTATTGAACACATTTTATAACCTCTCCAGACTATTCTTAATGAAGCCATACACAGCAAGCACAGTCTTGATCCTTTTAAAGAGCAGAAGAAACAAAATACCATACCCATTTAACACTATTTCGCAAGTTATACTAAATATTATTAAGGAATTAAAAACGTGACCACAGTGCTTTATACATTCAATCGTGTCTTTCATTCATATTTTGAAAAACAACTGAACAACACAGAATATGCTGGGTATCTATAGAAAACGACAGTGACATGTTAAGAGTCTTCCTTTTATGTATTAATGACTGGGTATACATCAAACTATTACAAACACAAGAGAAAAGATTTCAACCATCAGTTAACCACATTTCATTTCTAGTGGGAAGAAAAATACATTTGTGCACTTTCCAGACTGGAATAAGGTTTATTTTCTTTGATAAATATTTCCTAAATCCACATAAAGCATTCAATTTGTTTTGGGGTATTACAACACTGTAACGAGTAAAAAGTTGATAACTTGTGGTATCTAATGGCACTGTCCCATAATGCCCCAATGTGTGACATCAGAGGTTCACAATGCAGGTGAAGGTCTGGATTTAGTAACCATGGCAGTTGTCAGCAATACTGGGTAACCCAATGAGATAGGTGGGACTCAACAATACTTTCTTCTCTTTGGGGGCACTCCACCCAAGTGCTAATGTTAAAAACGAATTGCAAGTTCAAACCTACTCCTTCCTGCTTTCATTCAGACTACATTTGTTTGTGTACTTTTAACTAATGTTAAATGAAAGCCTTTCAGCATGTACTAAAATTACCCCTCAATGAAAAGATATTTAGGCCTATTAAATTAAAGTGGGAATTTCGATAAAATAAAAAACCTTCTAGTGAAAAAAATCAATACTGTAGTAGAGAAAAAATATCAGGCCAAAACAATTATTTTATTAATCCTGCCCTGTCTTTCTGCTCTCCATTTTCACATTTTCATGAGCGGTTTATTAATGTTGTGTGTTTAACATTTTTCTAGGATAAAGATTTAAAGACCAAGTTTACAGTGCAACACTAAAGATTTAACCACAATGTAATCAAGCAAATCATTTTAATACTCTACTACTGGACATCATAATCTCCCCTGAGATTTGATGCAGCCATTTAATTAACCTTTGCATGAGGCTTTGAACACATAAATAAAGGACTCATACAGAGCACAAGACTGCTTCTGTAACAAGTATCTCTTGAAGGTTTTCCATTTGTCTCAGGAATATAGAATCCAGAAATTCTGCAAGCCACCCACTCAAGAAATACAAATTGTAATTTGGGTATTTTAACTGTCCAAAGCTTCATATACAATATGTATGTCTAACACTGTATGTACACACAGTATATATGACCAGTACATTAAAAAACATGCACATCAGAGCTTGCTTTTGTGGGAATTGCAAAAAAAAAAAAGATACATACTAAGCCAGTCAAAGATAATAAACACACCTTAGTTCTTTATAAGAGGTTCAGAGGTAATTATTTTATGTGCAAAGTAAAGGAAATGTAATTCAATAACAACAGCAGTAGCACAACAAGGTCAAACAAAGACTGCATAACCCTAAATGATTTCTGAAAAGATCTTCCTTCAAAGTACGCTTTGTTATTTTCTAGGTTTTCATTACAAGAACAGTGGAAGAAATTTACGAACAGGAAAGGTTTGGCTGGTAAATAAAACAGTGTTAACGAAAAAAAAAACCGTCGAAAAATTAGACAAAGAACCAGCAGCGGACTTCCTTCAATTATGAAGCTAGGACTGTATGGAGTGTCCTGTATGTAGACGTATACAATACCGTTCCGAACAAAGAAAGTGTTTAAGCAGCTGTCTTAACTTTAAATTATTTTAAAATACGTTTTTCCCCCCATCTAATAGTATACCGTGGAACTCTTAAAAACTAAAACGAACACACTCTCCCACGAAGCTAAAGACAAAAACCGAAGACCTTAATTACCCTCCGACCTAAAGAAAGTGATAGTAGTATATCCTCATAGGCCTATATCAGCCATATTTATGTTCACACACAAAGCAGAGCACGGTATACTTCAACAAGCAGGACTGTTACACTTAAAGATGTACGATCAACCGGGGATATACGCCTGTTTGCCTGTGTTGGGGGACGAGGGGTGTCACTTCGTCATTCATTATTAAAAACACAGGATTGACACAGGAAGATCCGCAAGAGACTCAATACTATTCCAATACTCCCTTCTTGGTTTACACAGGCTACATTTTTGCAAAGATTCATTTACAACAAACAAGGAAGATCCTTGCCTAAACTGAATATGCTACTGACTCCTTTTTTTACTCCTTTTCAACAAAACCTAGTTGCATATTTATACGTAAAGTACATTAAAATGTCATTTGCAATTCGGTAAGGTTACACAACCATTTGTTCACAGACGATGAAAGACCATCAATGTACTAAAACACCCCAGGCTCTGCAGCAGACACCGAGTTGTACCTTAACTTGAAATTTACATTTCATACATTTTTAAAAGAAAGGTATTTTCGCACACCTCGAGGTTGGACTACACAACCTGCGGTAAGTTACTACTTCAGCGATGAAGTTCAAGCACAAGCAATACTAGCCATCGAAACAATTAAAACCAATTCCAAAAATATCAAGCTTCTTAATTCTGGGTCGAAATTAAAAATCAGGAGCGCCCGAGTGACACCTGGAGAACCTCGCTTTGCACACCAGCTCTCTCGACGCAAGTTTATTGATGTCTCTCTTCCATGTTCAAAACCGGTCGGCACTTTAAAAATAAATGAGTGAGCTACTCTGTTTTGAACAGCAGACGGAGAATAGTCCCAGTAACATAACGTGTCTGTGAATCACTGCCTTGTCCTTTACCTCACACTGACCAAGAGCTGAACACAAAAACTTTTGGAAATTACTCCGAGAATGAGATCTCCAACTGCTGGACAGGCACGCGTGCGAGGAAGCATACTACTACCACACTAACCACGATACTCCAGTCACTTTAAGATAACACAGTTTCGTGTTGTGTGTGTAGAAATGAGGTTAATCAAAGCGAAAGGACGAACACATCAGGAAATAACAAATGCATGCTCGCAGCTGGGGTACTCACTAAGGGTCGTTTGTAAACCTGGGTGTCCGGGGAGGCTGGTATCCGTATAGATGACAATAAAGCACGTCGAAGCAGAAGCAACACATCTCCGCCGAAACAACCATCTTCCTGCTGCTGCCAGAGCCGGGTCCGGGGCTGAGGTTCGGGGAGAGGCCGGTGGTGTTATAGCCTCCCGGAGTTGGGGACAGCGCGCTGCTGTTACTGCCACTGCTACCCCCGGGACCCCCCAGGCCGTTCACACGATTCACACTCCCGGCCGCCACCGCCGAGGAAGAGCCGATTCCCAAGTCCGAGCCGCAATGTCCAGTCCCAGCTCCCCCGCTCCCCGCCCCGCCGGGACCCCCCGACCCGGGGGACCCCGACAGCTTCTGCTTCTTCACCCCGCAGCACCCGGCCGCCATCTTGGAACAATCTGCTCCGACACACCGCTTCCGACCCATCGCCGTCACCGCGGGAGGGGCGGGGGGAAACGCCGACCAGACGTAGAAATCCCACTGCGTTAACACGTAAGACGGACAATGCTCCACCTTCTCTCTTTTTCCAAATTTAATACCCAGCGTAGACTACGTTAAATTTTCAACTCCCAAACAAGGGGGAGGGAGGGGGACGCAAGGAAAAAAGAGGAGGGGGAAGACTGCAATGTCACCCGATCCTTTTTCTCTTTTTTTAAAGTGACGTACCTTACGGAGAATCCTTACGCTGTTTTCTTAAGAGAGTCTTCTGCCCACCGGACTGTTGCAAATCCACTCCTTCCACCGGACCCAGATAATTCGACAATGTGCAGGCCCCAGTGTTTTGGACAATAAAAAAAAGATGAACGACCGCGTTAAGAACAAGCTGCTCTGCTTCCACGAACCAGGTAGACGCAGACCATTTGGCACTCGCTACGATATCTGCTTAAAAGGACAGCAGCTAGGTGGTTTGGTAGAGAGGAATACTGCACTGTCAGCACAGAGGCAGCGATCCTGTTTTTGTGTGGGAGTGGGGCGACTGAGCGCGCAGGACCCACACGTTTCAGCATGAATAACAAGTAAGGCTCCGGATGAGATAGCTACCACACACCCGTTGTTCACTTGCATCCGAACTTCTTTATATTTTCACGAGTTCAGGTCCAAGACCCACTTGATGCGAAGTCCAAGCGGTCTAAAATATGCAGTTTATTTTCACAGCATCTGCAACGTGCTTGTCATTGTTTTTAAAAAAATGTAGCTGCAGCTGGATTCCACCTGCTTTTTTCAGTGCTCTGGACGTGGTTAGCGTTTTTTATTAAAATACCACAGCGTACAAAGCAGACTTGGAAGTTTACTGTAGCCCTGTGGGAAGGATGTCATCAGTTTATTCTGAGTCATTTTTGCACGACATCCTAGTCCGCAAGGCAGAAGTCCAGCTCTTTCCACTCTATCTCCTCATCCGGCTGGCAGGTCTGGATGCTGCCCGTTTCAACTGCAGTAGAAATGTGTCGTCCGACCATCCGAAACCTCTCGCACCTTTTTCTTACTGGTTCCACATACACAAAAAAAATACTATTCAGGACGTATTTTGCGATTAATTCCTACGCATAGTACGTAAATTCTCTCGGGTCATCAAATCTCTGAACCCTGCGCGCTATCTGCGTACAAAGAACAAGAGAAAAAAACTCCATGCAGTAGTATACAGTACGCTTAAATTGACAGCGCTGGCTGCGTAGAGAAGACCATTTTTATATCCTTTTATTAAGATCGGTAGCACCCTTTGATGATTCTGTTCCAGTCCAAATCCTAAAAGAAAGAGAAACAACGAATTATGAGCAATCAACGTAGAGATATTCGGCTGCCCCTGGTTTAATGAATTCTGTTTTCTGTATTGAGATGAGTCTGTAGGTAGAGCCAAAGCAATTCCCCAAGCCTAAATAACCCACAAAAGAGTAACGGAGGCCGTTTTAATGTGGTATGTCATCCTCTGAGATTACAAAGCACGGCTTTAAAGCTACAGTGCATCGCACGGCTCCTCGGGATGTCTAGTTTTTCACGCCTATACAAACAAATCAATGAAAATTGGAGAATGCCTTAAGGGCACTCCGCCGGAAAAATGCTGTATAATTAAAATTTTCAAAGCGAACTCTTCTACAACAAACACTCACCCTCCTCCCCACCAAAAAAAGATTTTCAAGTACTGCATTTGCAGCATTTCTGAAATCACTACATTTCGTTATAAGCTGATCCCGAGTCCATAAACAAGGCATGTCATTTATTTGATTACAATGTTACTCAAAGTGATGTCCTCGGTCTACTCCTCTTGACTATTCTCCAATTGCAATTTCTACCAATTAATTTGCTATATCCTATCAAAGGCATCTGTAATTTCTGCAACAAGTTCCCAACAACTTGGTCATTACAAACCCCATTAGACTTCGTAAGAGTAGGGGTGTTGTTAAGCCTTGTCTCCCCGTTAAAATTGAAATCTAAGCTTGCAGTCTGGGCTACCTATAAAATCCAATTCAGTATGTGCAGTAATGCTTGACTCTACCTGACTTGGTGTGTATTGGGCTTTTGTGGCGCATCACAGATGTGGTTGCTGTGCTTTAGTGGACGAAGAAGTGAGTCCCCCTCCTAAATGAAAGTGTTTTGGGATGAAAGACTACTAACATTAACATATGAAGTGTAACCAATTGTGTGTAACTTCCATTACTATTGTTTTGAGAAAGGTACGCCAAGTGAGAGTGCATGGAATGTTAGTAACTCCTGGGAATTCATTCTCTTAACACCCCAACACCTCTTAAAAGGTTCAGTTCCGGATTTCAACAAATGATTTTTTCACCTAATGGCAATTATTAGAAAACAATTCTTGAAACCAGATTTTCAGAGGAACTTTGTAACTCATTATTTAGCTTATTTGAGCTCCCAAAAGAAATGACTGCAATTAGTTAAATATCATTAAAAAACTGAGACGTTGATGACAGATTGAGTTTAAAACCAAAACTTAAAAAAAAACATGATTCTCTTAAAACGACTTAAAGGTATTTAAATGACCTGGGCATTGAGGTATATCTGAATTACCTGAAATCAACACCTGTGGTGTTTAAAGATGAATAACTGATAGAAATGCATTGTAGCAGCCACAAGTCTCTGCAGAACTGGGGGACTAAGGCAGTCTGACATAAATGACAAGTTGTAGGAGCATTATAGATAATTGGATCCTGTGTAATCAGTGTTGATTATTAGTGGCTAAATTCTTTGTGATTGTTCTTTGTGTACAAGTGTTCTAGTGATCTAGAGTCATTTGAGAGCAGTGTTTATTTGGTGTGGATGGGAGTGGGCCCTGCCTAGCAGGACATACTGTACTCTTGCAAGGTGGTGTTGGTGGTAGGGGTGTCTTGCTAGCAACAAATGCAAACATAGTAAGGAAACCTTCCAAGAAACAAGGGCAAAAGCAGTAATTGCATCACCAAGTAATGACAAACCTATGTGACTATTGTAAAAGCAGTAATTGGTGTCAGGAAGGAAGACAACTGTGGTGGTAGTATTGCCTGAGGTCCTAGTCTGCCAGCTCCCAGTGTGTAGAACAGAAACAGCGAAAGGACCTCCAGACTACGGCCTGGCCACCTGGAGCACCTGCGGGGTAACAGTGGGTGCCAGCGCCCCCATAAGGAAATCCAAGCTTGCCAGGCATCCTTGCTTATGCCAGCCACCTAAAGTGACAGTGGCATCAGCAGCAGCAACAAGTGTAAATGCTGGCTAGTAAGAGCCCGGGATGATCTGAGTGTAAGTTACCCTGTGGTGGACAAAGCCATCTAGCTGCTTCATGTCACCAGCGTTAAGATCTCTAACCTCAATGAGCTGAATGAGTCTCCAGTGCCAACCAGCCAAATTCCTGAGCCAAATCCCTGCATCTGATGGAATCAGGCCATCCACAGAGAACTGTGTTGATTATTTTGACAGATCTGCACCTTGGGAGTCTTTCTGGGTGCAGTTTAAACTGGTGGTGAAGACTAAGGCATGCAGATTGTCTCTCAGCTTTGGGCAGGACTACATGGGCCAGAAAGTTCTTCTAAATCAAGAGGGGAAACATTTGATTTACATTTAAGGATCAGAATCTCTGTACTCCCACTAGCACTGATTCAGGAATGTAGGCCCCTAATGCTTTGTCGTCAACAGGACTGGGGAGGGAAAACCCCAGGATCTTTTGTTGCTGATTTTGTGGTATCTGTCAAGGCAAAGTTACTCTAATCACCTGTTAAAATTTGCCCCCATATCCTCTTCTCAGACTGTACAAACTAGGGTCAAGGCCTGGAGCAGGCTTTTCAGATCAAGGCTATTTATTTACACAGAGGCCTCTATGATAAAGTACAGGGACAGTCAAGACAACAAATTCTGTGTGAAGAATTTTGCCACTTCCAGGTAGTTCTTTTCAGCCCAACAACCCCTTTAACATGAGGCTGTGCAAGTCTCATTTGTAGGATGGACCTGTAAGGGAAAAAAGTGTTCACATCCTGTGTAATCAGGGGAATTTTTTTTTTTACATAATTTCCTCTGTTTTCCAGATCCACCCAAGGATTGCACCAGCAGTAGAGGGGAACAATCGTAAGCCCTGGGCAGACATGGGAAAGAATAAGGATGTGGACAGGACGGTTGCTACAACCTACATTGGGCAGGGAACTCTGGACATTCCAGTCTAGGGTGTAATATTCAGCTTGCATTATGGTTGACAAGGATGCATCCTCAGCCATTTACTCACAGCAGGGGAGAAAGAGATTGGCCTGTATCTGTTTCAGGTGTTTCAGATTAACCTATTTTGGCAATTTGCTTAATGCCTTGGCCACCTTTGAGAGACTACTTACCCAAGTCGGTCATCTGCTTCATATGTGAACCTACAACTGGTGTTTCACCATATATTGGTGGCTGGATTGAAACTATTCCTAGAGAGGTGTAACCCCTTCCAATGTGAAGGGTGGTTCCTGCCTGGGGCACATAATGGGACCAGAAAGAGTGTGAGCCCAGATAAAGTTGCTGCAATAGTCTTGGTTGTTCCCTACTAAGACCAACTCAGTGCAGAACTTACTGGGACATGTGTCCCTTTACCTGTGGTCTGTTGAGTTGGTGACTGTCTCTGGTTCACAACAAAGGGGGCTTTCTTAGAGTGGATGGAACAACCATTTGTGTATGTGGAAATTAGGGGGTTGATAGTACATTTAGACCAATTAGAGAACAAGCTATACTCTATTATAGTTATGCACTAAGTTAGCTTTCTTTCAGCTAAATTTAGCTGTGTAGCCCTGTTCCATAACAAAGTGTCTCCTGTGGTGAGACCCTATTAGAGGGGATGTTCACCTGGCGTGGTGTACAGGAGGAAATCTGCTGCGACCAGAAGTGATGAGCTTGAGGAGAAAAACATGGGTTCTTAACACCCCAAAGACAAAGAGGGGTTGGAAGAGAACCCCAAGGACATGGGGTCAACCCCTTCTGTGCCCCAGCATAGAAGCAGGTCCTGATGACTGCTGAATCATGTGGCCTTTTTCAGCATTTACTGGTAAAGTCAAAATGGATCTGGTAGGGATGCCAGAACCCTGTCCTGGGGCTGTGTACCTCCATATGCCACCCCGAGGAGCATGAGGTGATATTTGGTTAAGAGCATCATGAGTGATTGTTTCCCCAGTGTTGATAACTTGCTGTTCTTTGTGTGGTAGTGTTCATGAAAATATTGGCACGTGTCTAAGAGCCCTTTTGAGACAGGATGTGGGTGAAGAAACTACAGGTAGTAAGGAGGACCACAACAGCACCAGGATGTATGAGCCAGCAGTGGGTGCTGTCTGATCCTTTTGTGAGCCTCAGAACTAGCACAGAACCTTTGCAAAATAAAGTGTGAGAGCAAATACAGTTATTTGGCAGCTTCTTTTAACCTAGGTTAAGTGTTACAGCCGGTGCCAGGATGCAGGACGTGAAGTGAGGCAGCAGCTTTGCCTGGCAAACAGTGCAGGAGAGATGTCAGGGAGCAGCACGAAGAGTATCAGGGGCCTGCAGAAGTCAGGTGCTAGAGCTCACATCCACATGTTGGAGGATAGACAGCAGAGGCTTTTTTCTAATATTCTGTTTCTTCAGAACCTATGTGAACGCATGCAAGTTCTAATATGCTTGATTCATTTAATGTTTTTGTCTCATTTTGCCAAACAACAGGAGCAAAATTAAAAATATATGTGCAGTTTTACAACACATAGAAATGAATGGCTGGGTTAATTTAACATTCACTGCTGTGCTGTTGTGTTCTATTTTTTGCATAACCTTTATAATTGTTGTTTAAGTGATATACAGATGCTGTTAAGTCAACAAATATGAACAACAGATCTGCTCCATTTAACATCCATGAGGCATTGAAGAGCATATATCTGATTTAAAGTAACTGTAAAACACCAAAATAAAGATACAGACTGACTTTATTTTAATTTCTTACTAATTCCAACTGTGTACAATTTTTTTTTAGTTTATGGTACTATTTCTTCCATGTAATAGTAGATATTTTACAAAAAGGAAGTACTGCATATAATCTTCTGTTATGTTTTTTTTTTATATTCACAGCTAAATGATTAGCACCCTATATTTGAATGCACTATATCATTCAGTTGAATAAGCATTGTTTATTTAGGTGTATTTATCAGTAAAAGCTTTTTAAAGATTTTGACCAGTAATTCATCTTATTGAGTCTCTGGTCAGCTAATTTCATATAGGAAGTACTAATTTCATATTGGGAGCACTTGTGTTTAAATTTGCAACATGAATGCATAAACATGGATCCAGGGCAGTGATTTCCCACTCCTGGTCTTGGAGGAACACTGTGTCTACACGTTTTCATTACAGCTGAGTTCTACATCTCCAGTGCTAATTGATTACTTAATTGACTTGCTTGCCTGTTTAGAATTTTGTTTCTATGTTCAGTTCTGAGTGTCAAAAATACCCTGCTTCAAGGATACCGTTTTCAACAACTTCTGCATATAGAACTTTCCTCAGCTTCCTTGCCCTTATTTGTGCTTGTACTATTCTTATGAAGTGTTCAATTGATGATGAACAGACAAGGGTGCAGAAGACCCTATATCAGACGCATTGCAAGGAGCGTGTTTTCCTTCTGCAGAGGTCCAGTTAGTTACATTTCAGACAAGACACTTGAATCTTACCAAGATGCTATTTGATCTTTTAAGCGCTGAAAGCAAATGTACAACTAAGCCCCAAGTGGAAAACTGAAAGCATTTAGCCAGTAATTACAAACTCAGCTGGAACTAAAACCAGAAGACATTGTTCCTCCGGGACCAGGGTTCGGAACCACTGATGTAAGGCAGAAGTAATCAACCTTGGCACTTTTATCCCATTCCATCGCCAGTCTTGTCCAGCTAATCCTCATTTATCAAAGTGATCTTCAGCACTTCATTGGGCGATTAAGCATAAGGTCAGTTGATTTACTGGAAAAAAGAAACACCTGGAATGGAAGTACCCAGGATTTCTATCCTATTCTAGAGTATAGGATCTAAACATATGCAAAAGTCAGCAAACAATCCTAGAACAAACACGTCTCATTCCTGAAATCAGAAATCTTTATCAGACTGCGTCCTATAGATGGCTATTTATGATTTCCACAAAAAACTCCTGTCAAAATTTTTACAAATACTGTCCTTTAGCAAACTGGATGTATTCTGATAAGATTCTGTTCTATTACAACGTAGCAGAGCATTAAATAGAATCCCAAAATCTAAACAAAACAAAACAGTTTATTATTGCTTCTGTAAAGCAAATATTTTGTTGCTTTTTCTTTGGGGTCTAATAAGAAACTACAACTCACATACTGAGTTTTGCTCCAGTCCGCAAATAGAGGCTTTTATGTAAAATACAGAATAATGCCTTCACAACCAAAGTGCTGCAGAGCCTGTCAGCACCTGAGCAATAGCTCAGTCCAAGGATACATTAAAGGCACTTAGTATTCTTCCCCTGTGAATTAACCACCACTTGCCATCTTATCTGAATGTGCAGATATCTCATGCAGTAAGAATACTAACAGGCTTCAGTGACGTGTGTGCAATACAGAAATAAAGTTATTAATTTCTGTATAACTTTACAAAATGGGGTAATGCTAGGGTTGCAACCTCTTCATGCCTTTAACTATAAAATATTCCTATAAGAAAAATATTCTCCTCTGACTTGTGTTATTTAGAAAAGTTAAAAAGAAATCACGGAATGATTTTTATTGAACCAATTCCTAATCCAGTAGATGCTAAACCAGAATAATTTTACAAGGGCATCAAAACTAAAACTGTGGTAGTTTGTAGTAGGAATTTCAGTACACAAAACACAAAACTGGTTACTAACCATGCCGAAGTTCAAAATCAAGTGATTTAATCAGCTGAGTCAAAGTATTTAAAACGTGCACTTCATTGAAAAACAACAAAAGAAGGGAAAAAATATCTGTACCTACCTCAATAACACTAGGCACCAAAGTAAATACAATACTAAATACTATATAATGTTCCATATTCAAGATTTAAGATTTTGGCAAGGATCAGACTTTGTCACTAATTTTGTAAAAACAGTGGTGTTTTTCTTCTGAGTGTTAAAATGTCTTGTTATTGGAAGAGATGTCTCTTTCAAAATGCCAACCTGAACTTTCTTTTCTTTATTTTTACATGCTTAAGTACAGAAACAGAAACAAACACACCACTACATATGCACAGTTAAAGAAATATTTACCTGGTTTCTAACTGATTCTTCCAATTCAGGATCACAGGTGAGCTGGAGCCTATCCCAGCAAGCAACAGGCAAAAGGCAGGATACACCCTGGGATGCCAGTGTATCACAGAACAGACAAACACTCACACCTAGGGCCAGTGTCTCCTGAAGTCAATTTACTGTACCTACCAGTGTGTCTTTGGACTATGGGAGGAAACCCATACAAGGGAGAACATACAAACTTCACACAGATAGCACCCCAAGTCCATTATTAAAACCAGGGCTCAATTTGTAAGAGCTGAAAGGCAGCAATGTTAACCTCTGTACCACCAATCTATCCTAAAAAACATACAGGTGTACATGCCAAATTAAGTGAAATACAGTAATACAAAGTTTATAACGCTTAGGAATAGGAAAAACAGAAGGGGATGTTGGCTGTCAAGGCATACAGCCCTGAAAAACTATTAGGTAAAGGTTGGCTTTCAAAGTAGGAAAGGAAGGGCTATTGTACAACACAAAATCTTGAGACCATCTTGAATGTATCAAATTTACTACAATTTGTAATCATGCAAAATATCTCTAATTCTATTGAGTACCAAAACTCAATATATCGACTGTACGTATATCTACTGTACACACTTTATTCAGGAAGCCTTCTGGCTTGGAGAAGGAACAAATTCGTAATTTCAGGTAGAAATTTGATTGAAGAACACTCTGGGCTGACTTTAAATTGAGTCAGTGGGATATTTAGGAGACTGAATGGACAATTTGGATACCTTACTGTACCTTATTGTACAAGTAATTCACAATTACCAAAAAAAGCCATGTAGTTGGCAAGTTAAAATAGTTACATGTAGATACTTTATATATTTATATAAAGAGTAACATCTTAATATAGCACTATAGTTTCTTAGTTATGCAAAGGTTGTAAAAAACAATGATAAAAGAGATCTTTCAAGAATTTCAGATAATTTCTGTTTCAAATGTAGAAGAAAGTGTCTCTCAGACATAGACAAGAAATGGTGATGCAGAGTGAATGTTGGCTGGACTGGAGGAGTTAGTGGTGAACTGAGAAAGACGTAGAGAGGTACATACATATTAACTACATCAAGAATGGAATCTGACAGGTTGCCATTTCAATAATTAGTCACATGAGGAATCTCCACTTTGGGTGGCATGGCTGTGGGCACTTTCATACATAAAGGAATTTAAAGGTCCAAGAACCTAATGCGTATGTTTTACTTTTCCCGTAAAGTGTCAAGCCAATTCTGGATTTTTAGAATGAATTATCCAAAACAAGAGCTGTACAGAACATAGAGTATCATGTGATCATATTCATATTTTAATATATATCATATCATTTGATATTTTGCTCCTGCTTATAACTTAGACTAACAGCTAATGTTACTGACCCTGTACAAAAAGATAAAACCAAGACCTTTAATTCAAACCCACACTGCCCCTAAACAGCCTAAACATTGTGACTGATGATAATGCTTATATAGCCACCCTCATGTGAGAACTCAAAAACTGCACTGCATCAATCACCCATATAAGCAAACAGAGGTGAACTACATATATATCCTACGGCTGTAGTATATACTTCTTCAGAAAGGCTTTAATGTAATTTTTATCTGTCTGCTCCTTGCATCTTCTACTACAGTACATTTCTAATTCTTTGTGTTTCTTTGTGCCAATTTAGTTATCTCTATTTTAGTAATTTAGTTAGTTTTCATTTATCTGTTTTTAACCTTTCCTATAAAGTGCTATAGGCACTACATAAAATAATGCTTATTCTTTCTTATTCTTATTTTTATTCTTGATGGTCTACAATACAGTACAAATTAACTAGTGCTTCCAGTCAACTCCATAGCAGCCTCTTGTGGTGGCTCTATTGTCAATGCATTCCAGACAGCCACAAGACACCACATTAGTTCCTTCTGTTTATGCTAATGAAGCCAATATGTAACTTTTTAATATTGCGGGCCAGTAGCCATTAAAGAAATAAGGAAAGGTCATGCTAACTAGATGTTTAGGTGTCGGGAGCAAGGCATTCCCAGAAAGAGGATTTCTCCCATTCCTCATAAGTGAAAGCATGAGTATTGCAAGTGTGAGAAAGATGGAAATATATTGGAAAATATATATGCATTTTGAAAATATGATCATTTTAACCAAATTGACATAACCAGCAAGTGAGAGAGAAAGAGAAGATCTATATACAGACTACTGTTTAATACTGTATGTTCTAGTTAGGGGGACTACACAAAATGTGCCAAAGATGTAAATGGGTGAAAAGTTTGAGGTGTTAGTTTCTAAAATGAAGCTGTACAGCAGGATCAAGGAAGGAGGATGATGTAGGTCAGCTGAAATGTTAGCTCAGTTTCTGAGTTTGCATGTCCTCTCTCTCTGCTCAAGCCTTGATTTACATATCCTGAAACCATAAGACCTTTGTGATCTGTAATCACATCTGAAGTCCAGCTACCTTCTTCAGGAGTCACTTATGCATATATATCCTTTTTAAAAGAATGCCCAAAACTGGACTCTGTGATCCAGGTGCAGTCATCAAATAATTTAATATACTGTACCTCCTGTTCATATTTGACAGAGTGATGACAGAGCAAGAAGGCATGTGTCTTGCTGTTTTATTTAGGATACGTCTTCAGTGTGTTGTATCCCAATCACTTTAGCAATAGTACTTCTGAACACACAATTGAATTAAGCATGTGGAGGTGTT